AACTGGGGTACGAAAGTGCCTACAAACAATTCTCTTGCCGACAACCCAAGTTTCTGATAACAAACAGCTCTAGTGATTACACAGGTTTCCCAGAAAGGAACAGAAAAATTAACAATTCAGTTTGGGCTTTTCATTTTATTCCAGATGTGACTTATTTTCATTAACAAAATAAGCTCCTTTCTGCACGAGGGTTAGTGGTCATAAGGCAAATAAGACAGAATGCTTCCCTTTGCCTTGGAGTCAAAGTGCTGGAACCCCCTCCTAAGCACGTGTGACTGGGGAGCTCCGAGACCCTGGGACACGCACGGCTGGGAAGGCCCACGTGGGCAGGGGTTCCCCAGGAATGCCAGCATTCACGGTGCCACACGCACAGCTGTCACAATTGTGACAACTCTCCAACAAGCACAAGCAAAGCAAACTGGAAACATCAGTCATCGCAGAAGCAGTGCCGGGACAGCCAGAGTGGAGCTGCAGGAAGACGGCGCAGCCTTCCCGTGAGAACGCAGGCGTGCCTGTCGCCTGCACAGGGAAACCTCAGGGCTCTCTGGCTTATGGGCCATTTTTTTAGACCACTGCTCCTACGGACTTGCAGCAGAAAGAGTGAAAACTGCTCTGCCTTTTTAAATACTGCCAGCACCTGTGCGCTGTGCACCACTGTTATGAACCTTCTGGTCGATGTGCAATTTAAACAGGCCGAAATGAGGCAGGAGCTAACAGACGGTGCGCCGGGCAAGGGAAGGAAGCTGACCCACCAGCAAAGCCCTCGCTGGAGCGCGGTGCGGCAGAGACAGTCCCTGTGGCCTTGCTGTCGAGAAATGCTGCTGTCCCGACGCTGCGAGCTCAGCGGCTCCGTGAGATCAGAGAAAGCAGCAGTCACACTCGCCTCGACCCTCTGGAGGCGAGGGGGTCCCCTGAGCACCTTGAGAAAGATGCCTCCCAGGCTGGTCTGGAGGTGCCCCCTTGACAAGAGGTACATGAGCTGCAGCAGAGCCAGCGGGGCAGGACTGGGGAGCCAGGTGGAGGCAGGAACTAGACCCGAGGAAGAATCAGACCCCACCCGGGAGCTCCGGCTTCCTAGCAAGTGTGCTGTGGGGGGGAAATTAAACACGATAGGGCTAGTGTACACCAAAAGGTAAACCTCGGGAACTGTGGGCTTTTTACTGTGACTCCACCAAAGGCTATTCCAAGAACAAGCCAGGGGTGCCACTCCGTCACCAGCTGGGAGCTTTCGCCCAATGAGTGTCAGTGTTTCCTGGAACAAGGCACTTGCTTAAACCTGACACCTGCTCACTGCAGATTAAGTGATCCACGTGTGCCCCCCCCAACAGCTACCCCGTATCCGGCATGCCAGCCTGGTTCCTGAGCGAGTCTCCCCCACTCTCTCACCGGAAACAAACTGTTATCAGTTACAATGGTGTTGGTTTTCATTAAATTACCAAAAACAACGTGCCCCTGCTGGGTGAAACTGGTACAGACATTATAAGACGGGCCTCCCACTGTAATGAAAAGTAAGACCTAAAGGGAATCTGCTGCCCAGCGTGAGGGGCCTGCATTTGGTCAGTAAGTCCAGCCCCGAGCCAGGGCGGCGTGCCTTCCGGAGAGGTGGCCAGTGCTGGAGGTGAGAGCCGTATCAGAGGAACTGCCTAGGGCAGGTCTCCTTCCCTCTCAGCAATGTTTCTGGCAGCATTCCTTAAAATAAACCTGCTCAGAGGTTAAATATAAAGCAGCACAATGGGCCTTTACAACAATGGTGAAAGCCAGCATGCCAGCAGCTGGCACTGTGTGCTCCAGGCCAAGGTGTAGCGCAGCTTCGATCGGGACCAGCAGAGGGAGCTCTCAGGGCTGCGAGAGGACAGGCAGGGGGGACACCAGGCCCGCAGGCACCTCGGCTGTGGGAGTCTTGGTCTCCTTCGGGGCGAGTGCAGCCTGGTTCTCCTCTTACAGATGCTGCAAAGCTGGGAAAGCACTACCTGCCAACTCCAACGCCATAGAGGAACCCAGTTACAGGTCTTTGGGCAAAATGTACCTCAAAACCATGAACAATGAGAAGAAATGGGGGCGGGGGGGAGAGGAAGAAGGACGGAAGCACAGATGCTAATTCAGCAAAGAAAAACTACCTGAGATCAAATTTTCCCAAAGGGTCTGGGTTAGGTGACATGACCCCTCACCTTTCAAAAAGAAAATTTCTAGGTTTTTAGCCAAAGCCGGTTTGGCTCAGTGGTAGAGCATCGGTCTGCGGACTGAAAGGTCCCGGGTTCGATTCCGGTCAAGGGCATGTACGTTGGTTGCGGGCACATCCCCAGTGGGAGATGTGCAGGAGGCAGCTGGTCGATGTTTCTCTCTCATCGACGTTTCTAGCTCTCTTCTCTCTTCCTTTCTCTCTGTTAAAAATCAATAAAATATATTTAAAAAAAAAAAAAAGAAAATTTCTAGGTTTTTAATCATTTCAAACGATCTAAATTCATGCATATATTTCACCCTAAAAGAATCATGAAAAGGGCATCTTTGAAAATATTTGGTTGCGATTTAAGAAGATACTAAGACTGGATTTCTGATCCTGTGAGAAGAGAGTGTCTTTGGTAGTAATGGGCTAAGAGCTAGGAAAGAACTTAAAGCATAGGAGGCATCTTTTTCTACTTTGAGGCTTTAATACAAAATATTTAATTCAATAAAGGGAACTCAGGCTCACCAAGTTCTCCTCAGCTCCCTCACAATCTAGCCAGCATCTTTCGTAGAGGCCCGCGTGTCAGCCACCACATAACTGTCTGCGTGCACAGCCCTGAGACGAGAACTGAGGAGCTGCGGGGTGCAGTGCGGAATCAGAGCCACTGCCCGAAGCCACTGCAGCGCTGATGCTAAGGACTTGGGTTTTGGTGGTCGGGACAGGGAATGTGAGGCTCAGTGCTCACCTCAAAAAGAATTCACCGCACTGTGTTCATCAGCATGTACAGAAGCACCAGGCTTTTCACCACCAGGGAAGCTACCGCCCGCACAAACTGCTGTCTTAGGGCCGCGTAGGTCCCACCGTACGGGTTTCATTCTCTTGAATTAGTATTGGAAATCAAGCCGATAGTCGGCCTCTGCAAGGGCACAGAGCAGAGTTCCTCCTCCAAAGGGAAGGCCGTGCTGACCTGCCGACTTCCCCCAGGACCAGGCCACAGCCTTTGCAATTCTGCACCAGGGCGCACACTGAGACAGCGGGGTGGGGCGCACATTGAGACAGCAGGGCGGGGGCGCGCACTGAGACAGCGGGGCGGGGGCGCGCACTGAGACAGCGGGGCGGGGGCGCGCACTGAGAGCGGGGCGGGGGCGCGCACTGAGACAGCGGGGCGGGGGCGCGCACTGAGACAGCGGGGCGGGGGCGCGCACTGAGACAGCGGGGCGGGGGCGCGCACTGAGACAGCGGGGCGGGGGCGCGCACTGAGAGCGGGGCGGGGGCGCGCACTGAGACAGCGGGGCGGGGGCGCGCACTGAGACAGCGGGGCCCCCCCCCGCCCCGCACACTAAGGCGGCCGGGCTCGGGGCGCACACTAAGGCGGCCGGGCTCGGGGCGCACACTAAGGCGGCCGGGCACACTACTAGAGTCCAGACAAGTCGGCCACTAGTAACTGACCCCGGCGCAGTCACTGCCGCGGGCCACACGGCGCCCCCTGAGATCTGAGCCGCACGGGGCCTGCACAGCTCCAATGGGAAAGACTCACAAGAACATTCCTTAGGGAAAAATAAATAAATAGCAACTTCATTTAGGAGAAAAACACAACAGTCATACTCTGCACAATACTACTTTTTGTATAATCAGTGCTTTATAAAGGGTTCCTAAGTTTAAATCCTTAAAGACAATCTAAGTGACAGGAAGCCCGTGACCCCGTGTCCCCGATCTCAGTGCAATTGTCCTCCCTTCCCATCCCACCTGGGCAGCCTCCCCTTTCTTGGCTCTCCTGACCTCCAAGCAGACCTGGGGGCGCGGCCCTGGCTCCGCGAGGGCAGGAGGGGCAGGGAAGGGCAACAGCAGGACAGAAGAGCCCATCACCCACCCTGTGCCTGCTGCTGCTGCTTTTCCTTCCACTGAATATGGAGTCTTTTCTTTCTGACACTTCAGCTTTCCGCCAGCAGGGGGCACACTCTGAGGGAGCTAGCAGTGCTCACGAGATCAGCAGAGGTGAGCTCGCCCGGGTCCAGCGCAGATGGGATAAGGCAGCCACTCGAGGCAGAGCTTCCCCTCTGACCCAGCCATTAAGTTAAGAGGTTTCAGTGGAGCCCAGTCCGGACTCACTTGTTCTGAGCCTCCCAGGACTGTTTCTCATTCACCATCTATCAGACAGGCCCACTCTCAAAGCCGACATCTAATCGTGACAGGTGTGATGTGCAGGGAATGGGCTGGTGTGGATGGGATCAGCTCACAGGAATCACAGGAAAAGGACCAACCGGGTTTTCTCTCTCTCCCACTTGCACTCACGTGAGCACGTGCCAGACGTCGGGTTGTGCAACATCAAGCCCCAGCTTTCCAGCCTAAAAGCTGTATTGAAAAGCCTGCAGCCAGGCTCCCTGCAGGCTCCTTAAAGGAACATCCCAGCTATAGGACTTCTGGGCTGATGGTAACGCAGTGTGGACAGGAGGTAATGTCACGGAGCTCCCAGCGCCCAAGGACATGGACGGCTCAGGAGTGCTGGCAGGAGGCATCACCGCTCCAGCGGCGCGTCCCTGCTCCCTGGGCACGGCGTCACCCGACTCACGGTCACATGCAATGATGAGTGTCGAGGCTGCACGCAGCAGGGACCCTCCTGGGATGGGGAGAGGAACGTCCTGCCGGGGCCCGTGTCTGCAGTGCAGTCAGTGTTGAGGAACAGCCGCCCGTGAGCAGGTGAAACAAATGTACAAGGTGTCCCCTCCCAACGGGCAGGGTGCTCCTGCTTTTGGTGGAATATAACCACCAGGGAGTGGAAGAGGGGACACAGGCATCTCCCAAGGTTGCTGACTAAAGCAAGGTCTGGTACAGGTACCCCCTCTTGTAGGCACTCAGCGGGTAGAACGTGGCCACGACAAACTTCCCGTCGAACCTCCTTCCCGTCAGCAGCTTCTGAGCAGCTTTGGAGTCCCCAGCATTCGCGTACTCGACAAAGACCTGCGGAGACAGAACACGCGGCCTCGTTCCCACTGGGTCTCGGGGCACTGCTACCGAGGCCCCACGTGGCCACCAGATTCTGTTGGGCCATGGACCACAATTTTGAGCAGCAAGTTTTAGGATGCTCCCTTAGAACTCAGTCAATTCAGAAAATCCAACGAAGACCAGTTGGACATACAGCCCGGTCTGCAGAACAGTGCTGGGCAGCGGGGTAGCCAAGACAGGGTGCGGGCCGGGCGCTCCTCAGCACGCCCGCGGCAGCCACTTCCAGGGGAAATACACAGATGGGTGGGCGCCAGAACGTAGGAAGGAAGGTCACTTCCTTTCCCAGAGTCTCTGAGCCCCTCAGCCTGGTGGACACGGCAGGATAGCTCACCGGCGCTGTCTGATCTAAAGCAACGGCCCAGGGAGAAGAAACCACCTGAAAAGGCAGGTCCTCGGGCGCCAGGCGACTAGGACCAGCCCTATCACGAGCACCAAGGCGGCACAGACTTTCCACAAACGGCAGAAGAAGGAAATCAGCTTCTAGGTTCTCAATGTTCACCTGCACCTTTTCCTAAAATCAGAAGTTCAGGGGCAGCCACTTCCCCTCAGGAGCCCTCTCTCCCGGACAGAGCAGTCACTCGGCAGGCGGAACCGCTTCCAGGCCTCCAGCACGGAAAGAGGAGGCAGCTCCACCGGGTGCCGCTCTGCCCCAGGAGGCCGGCTCGGACTGGGAAGCGAGCTGTGAGCGATTTCCTCGTGCAAACAGCACAGGCCCTTCCGCACACCTGCATGCACAGCCTGCCCCGGGCTGCAGCCTGCACGGCGGGGCTGTGGGCACTGCAGGCCCCCGTGCCAGGCTAAGTGTTCGGCACCTGGACACACCTGTGCACAGGAAAGGTCAGTTCCAGTCCGGTGGAGAGCGGGACACCTGAGCAGGCGCTGAGCGCGCACCAGCCTGCGGGCCAGGAAGCTGCTCTGGGTGATGAGTGAACTGAGAGAATGTGAAGGCCGAGGACATCACTGTCCACCTCTGTGGCCTTTATAGACTCTGTCCCACAGCCCTCCCACCCCCGCCTCCTTCCTGCCTCCTCCCCCATGTGTCTATGCTGCTCCATGCGCATGGGTGTGGACTGGAATAACTGGGAATACCGCAGGAACTGGCCAGTGGGCATACATCACCTTCAAAGTGACTGTCCAGAGGAAGGGAGAGGCGGCCTGAGAGTCAGTAGGAATAAGAAATCAAGATAGAGTTGGGCCAGTGTAGTTCAGTGGTAGAGCATCGACCTATGAACCAGGGGGTCACAGTTCAATCCCCTGTCAGGGCCCATGCCCAGGTTGCAAGCTTAATCCCCTGTAGGGGGCCAGCAGGAGGCAACCAATCAACGATTCTCTCACAGTGACGTTTCTCTCTCTCTGAAATCAATAAAAATGTATTTTAGAAAAAGAAAAAAATCAGGATGGAGCCCTGGTCAGGTGGCTCAGTCCATTGGAGCATTACTTCACACACCAAAGCTTACGGGTCTGATCTCCGGTCAGGGTGCGTTCAGGAGGCAGCCAATCAATGTTTCCTCTCACATCACTGTTTCCTCTCTCTTTCTCTCCTTTCTCCCTCCCTTTCACTCTCTAAAAATCAGTAAAAACATATCCTCAGAGGAGGGTTTTTTTTTTTTATTAAAAAATAAACAAGGATGGAGGGAAGGACCCGGCCCTGCCGTGCCAGGTGTCTGGTGACTGCGTGCAGCACCGTGTCACACGAAGGAACTCCATTAATAAAAACCTGAAGAGGGTGTAGGATGGAGGACTCGACACTCTGACTTGGAACACTTGTTTGGGTCCTTGGCCCAACTCTGGCACAGCCTCCCCCGGCACAGGACCGAAGGCCGAAGTAAATGGGTGGACAGTTCACACCACTACAACCTCAAAGGGTTCCCAAGCCCAGGGGCAGGTGGCTCGCGTACTATGGTGGCAGTGGCTGAGGTGCTGCCTGGCCGGTCCTGGCGCAGGGTGTGTGGTCCCCAGCACCTGTCAGTCTGTCCGTCTGGGGGCAGGCTCCTCTGTGCTGAAGCAGGTCAGGGAATCAGTGACCCGATAACAAACATTCTCAAAAAACCGAAAGGAGTGAGACCTGGGATTCCAGGCTAACGAGTGACTGTCACTCCTCCCACGGGAATTCCAGGGAAGCGTCTCAACGCAGGTGTCCTCACGGGAGACGTCCTCTTTCCTATCACCTTGATGCTGGACACCCACCGGAAACGCTCCTCCTGCCTCCCGGTCAGCTTCCTGTCCTCCTGACCAGGGGCTAATGTGGAGGCAGACCACACTGTCCTCATTCAAGCTTCAGCCCTCCCTCCTCAGCCTGCCAACCCACACCTCTGAGATCACACCTGCTCTCCCCACTCCCACTCCGAGGCCGCACTGACCCTCACACGGGCCAGCGCCCTCACCGGAACTCTCTCCCAGTCTGACTGTGTCCACACCCAGTGGAAGACGGCCCTGTGTCCAGAACAGCCCCGTGCACTAGACGCCCCCAACAGGAACTGCCCAGAGCATGTTTCAAAGGTGTCAAGGCTGGGAAAACAATATTCTGTTTTCCGGAAGATAAAAATACTATAGACAGAAGGAACAATTCTCCTATCTTCTTTGCCATATAATTTAATTTAAAACCACAGTTTCTAAACAAAACTCTGATCCTAGGTTTAGTTCATACATTTTATAGATAAAATAACTAAAAACTGCCACAAAGTTAGTCACACTGAGACTGGAACTCGGATGGTAATTCTGTTATAATCAGAACATAACTTAAAGAGTTTTCTAATTCTAATTAATGAGAACAAAATCGGGACAAAATATTTTTGTACTGAACCTGACCCAGAGTGGCACCTGCTTCTGTTGGTGTCACCGTTTACAATGGCTCAAAAGCAGATCACTACTTTTTAAAAAACAAATACTGACTGTAAATGTATGCATATCAGAGAACTTTTGGAAAAAGTACAAGAAAATAAAGCCTCCATAATGAAAACTTCGTAACCTCTAGCAGCGTTTTCGTCTGCATTTTCTACGGAACTAAAACACACGGAGCGAATTCCAGTCTCTCACTGGCAGTGCGGGGCCGCTCACCTGTCCGCGGCCAGGGCTCTCCTTGGGAACCAGCAGCGACACCACCGGCCCGAACTTCTGGCACTCCTCCCGCACGTCCTCCACCGCGTCTGCGATTGACAAGACCCATTGTTCAAACCGTGATCATCATGACTCAGGAATCCATATCTAAGTAATAAGACCACTTTCTATAGTTCTGAAAATTAAGCTTAAGTATATAAATTCAATACTTTTAAAAGTTTTCTTTTTATATTTTAACACTTTGAATAGCTAATACATCCGAATGATTCAAAATCCAGAATCTGGAAATAGCAGTCCTCCTCCTCTTTCCCAATTTCCATTCCGGCCCCTCCCTGAAGTCAACAAGCATGACCATCTCTTCCATAAACATAAGCTCAGACACGCAAATATGATCATGTCTTTAAGAGATAAAGTCCAGGAGAATCCAAGATGGCTGCTCGGGTAGGCACCTAGCCGCAGCCACATGGAACAATTTCAATAAAATACAACTAAAATATAAAATGGACATTACCCAGAACTACAGGAAAGTCGACTGAATGGAAATTCTACAACAAGAAGCAAGGAGGAAACCAGAAGGAAGAACGGAGGAGCTGTAAAAGCCCAAGGTACAGAGACATGCGGCGCGCGGAGAGGATGGAGCCGGAGAGGAGGGAGCGGAGTGCCTGGCTGGCGTTCCCTGGCGGGAAGGAGATAAAACTCCGACTGTGCTGGGCCCCAGTTCCGACTGCTCTGAACCCCAGGCCTAGGCCAGACCCCGTGGACCCAGGCTCACACAGAGGGAGCTGGGCTGAAAGGCAGAACCCGGGGGAGCAGCGAAAGGAGGTCCTGGCCGCGCCGCGGGGAGAAGGGACGGTTGGCTGTGCCGCGGGATTGCCCTGGCGGGAAGGAGACAGGGGCTCCAGTCTGCTCTGAACGCCACCTCCAAATCCACTTCCAACTGAACTGAACCCCAGTTCCGGGCTCATTGAGGGAGAGACTAGACTGTTTGGCAGCAGGCGAAAATCGAGGGCACCTTTCTCTCAGAGGCGCTTGCAGCGAGTACTGAAGGACCCTGAAATGCAAGAGCCGCATAGGGTGGGGCTGACAGAAGCCAAGGCTGTAGTCTCCACCCTGAAACCCCGCCCCATCAGAAAAGCTGCCTGCGAAAATGCCTAAACCAAATAGATCACAAACGAAAGAAATGGAGGACAAAAAGCGACTGGATATAGAGTTCAAAACCACACTTATAAGGTTTTTCAAGAGTTTCCTAGAAAAGGCCGATAAAATAAATGAGACTTATGAGGGTATGAAAAGGGATCAACAAGAAATAAAGAATACATTGTCTGAAATAAAAAATATTATACAGAGTCCTAAAAACAGAATAGAAGATCGCAAGAATCAAGTCAAAGATCTGGAACATAAAGAGCCAGAAGACACTCCTCCGCAGAAGCTAGAAGACAAGAGAATCCAGAAAATTGAAGATGATGTAAGAAACCTCTGGGACAACTTCAAGCGAACCAACATCAGAATTATGGGGGTCCCAGAAGATGAGAGAGAGCAAGATATCGAAAACATACTGAAAGAAATAGTGACAGAAAACTTCCCCCACCTGGGGAAAGAATTGGACTTACAAGTCCAGGAAGCACACAGAACTCCAAATAAAAGGAATCCAAAGAGGACCACACCAAGACAAATCATAATTAAGATTCCAAGAGCAAAAGACAAAGAGAGAATATTAAAAGCAGCAAGAGCTAAGCAGATAGTCACCTATAAAGGAGCACCTATACGATTGTCAGCTGATTTCTCAACAGAAACCATGCAGGCCAGACGGGAATGGCAAGAAATATTCAAGGTGATGAATACTAAGAACCTACAGCCAAAGATAATCTATCCAGCAAAGCTATCACTCAGATTCGAAG